CCCCCCTTCCCCCGCCCTCCCTTTAAGGTTTAGCCGAAGGCCTTGTGGATAACATTCAAATCAGGGCTTTCATTTGCATACTTTGTTGGTGATGATATTATGGTTCCCTTTGAATCCGTGCTGTCTCTGTGGGTGCCAGCCAGCCCCTGCTGTTCCTCCAGGAGCAGGAGGAGGAATCTCTGCTGAGATGTCCCGGGGCTGGGGACAGGCACACGTTCTCCTGCCATGCCAAAGGGAATGAGGGGTAACAACCCTCCCCTGGGGTGGAGAGCTGGGCCCGTGCCCCCTGTGCAGAGGCCGTGGGGAGGAGGAGGATGCCATGGGACCGTGGCAGAGCTGGGAGCAAGACCTAGAGGGGGGTGGTGGCTGAGCCCCACAGCCCCCCTTGTGCCTCCCCACTGCGGCTGATGCCCGGGAAGGACCAGGGGCTGTAGCAGGATGGGCTGTGTGCAGGCGCCGTGTTCTCACTCTCTCCTCCCCTCTCCCTGCCAGGCTTGCACATCCTCGCCATCGTCTTCGCCCTGGAGGTGTCGGTGGGGAAGACCAACACTGTGGTGGCTCTGAATAACTCTGATGTCCTGCTGCCCTGCACCTTCGCCACCTGCATAGGCTTTCAGGACCTGGTCTTCACATGGTATTTCAACTCGACAGAGCTGGTGGGTGGCTCTCTGGGCTTTGCCTCTCTTTTCTTGGCAGGTCCTTTGGTACTTTCCCCGTGCAGACCAGCACTGCAGTTCTCACAGAGTTCCCTTTCTCTTCTTGCAAGATGCCCGTCCCTCCGAGCGTCCCCAGATCTGGGGGGACAGGGCTGTGCAACCAGGGGGACTCATACCCTGGCACATCTGTGCTTTGGGCATAAAGCTGTTCTGGATTTGCTGCTACCCACCGGCTCATTTCTTGTCAGAAATTGGCTGTTCAGGTGCTTTGGGCAAAATATGGTTAATTTTCTCTCATGCGCATGCTCTGAAATACTAAAGGTTCTGTGTGGACTTGCTTCCTGCTGGGAATACTCTGCTCTTCAGCTCCTTAGCAGGAGAGCTGGTTTGGAGCAGGTCTGTCCCGCTGCATGGCCCTAGAGCAAAGGGACTCTCTGCCCTGGCGTCTCTGCTCTTTTGTGTAGCCCAGAACGTTGCTGCACGGCGAGTTGGATTGATCTGTTGCTTCCCTAGCGGGGTGTGTGTCAGGTCCCTCTCCACAGCCATTCCTGCTTTAACTGGGGGCGCTGGGACACTTGGCCATGCGTGTCTGTGCATGCAGAGATGAGGCAGGGCACTGGCAGGAGAACTCAAGCCTTTCCCTCGCCTGGGTTGCCGGGAGCCCAGCTGAGCCCACGTCCTGCATCCCTGCCTCTGCAGATTTACCACGGCAAGATAAAGAGCAAATCCTCGGAGCCCTTCCTCGTGGGACGCAACCCCCGGGTCGAGTTCGTCGGCTCAACGACGGGCAAGGACAACAACATCTCCATCGTCCTGAAGAACGTGGACTTCAGCGATGCCGGGAAATACACCTGCCACGTCAAGAACCCCAAGGAGAAGAACGCCCAGCACAACGCCACCATCTTCCTCACGGTGGTTCAGAAGAGTAAGTGCCGGTCAGGGCTGCTGTGCCCAGCGAGTGGCACGGGGGATGCCAACCCGTGCTGACCCCACCTTGGCTCATGGTTGCAGCGGTGCACAGGGTGTCCTGGCTTCTTGGAGGTACTTGGCATCCCTGAAGGGCAAGGCTCGGCCTCCTGCCCCTCAGTGCTGTCGGCCGGCGGCTGGTGGAGGGGGTCAGTGCTTTTCGGTGCTGGGGGTGTGTGTGTGAGCACCCTGCTCCCCTCCTGTGAGGCCCCTCAGCACCTTCTCTCCTGCAGTGGTGGAGACAGACAACACTCTGACGCTCATCATCGTGGGTGTTGTGGGGGGGGTCATCGGCCTCCTCGTCCTCTTCATGCTCATCAAGAGGGTTGTCCTGTTCATCATCAAGAAGGTCCAGGATGGGAAGTGAGTGCGGGTGCTGCCATGGGGCAGGGGCTGGTCATGGTGAGAGGGGCCGGGGGGGGACCAGGGGCTTCAGCTGGCCGTGTGCTCTCCCCCAGGAAGGAGTGTCTCGTCAGCTCGTCGGGGAACGACAACACCGAGAACGGCTTGGCCGGCTCCAAGGCAGAGCAAAAAGCACCACCAAAGGCATGAAGCAGCGGAGCCCTGGCCCGCCCGGCAGCGGGGAGGGTGGGCAGGGGGACCAGCCTTTCCCTTTTGCTTTCTTTCCAAACTGCCAACGCTTGAGACATGTTTCTACTACACACGTGCCTGCAACCTGCACTGCTTCTCGGAAAAGACTTCGGCTGCCCCGGGACTGGGAGCTGCTTGCGGACTCGGACTGGGATGCCATCGGGACAGAGGGAGCCGCCTGCTCCGCTCTGAGCGAAGGCAAGAGGGTGTCGGGCAGGCAGGGAAGGGGCCGGGTGCTGGGGGGTACCCTGGTCTGCAGCCGTGCGGGTGCTGCCATCCCGGGGGTGTGGGGTGGTGGGCGGCCGGGGGTCCCGGCGTGCCTGGGGGGCTAGAGGCTGCGAGGAGCTTGGGGCGTCTTGTCTGACTCTGGCGATGCTGAGCTGGGGCGGGCAGGAGCCTCCTGCAGAAGGGTTCTGGAGCAGAGCAGGGATGCACGGAACGTGCCGTGGAGATGGAGGCTCCTGCCCGTGCTGTGTCTCTCGTGGGTCCGGCTCAGGAGGAAGGGAGGAAGCAGGGCTGCGGTGGTGGGGCTTGGCTTCAGCTCTCCTGTTAAGCACACTTGGGAAGCAAATCAGTGAAGGGCCCGTTGCTGTCGGGGCTGTCATCTCTTCCCAGCAGGGGCTGGGCGCTTCCATGGGGCAGGCTGGCCCTGGGGTCCCTCGGTTCCTCCCGTGGCAGGGCTGGGGGCACCAGCGGCCAGGGCTGGCCGTGTCCCCGGGTCACTGCTGGCTTCACTGGGTGAAGCTCCACACTTCATACTCACTTTACCCCCGCACAGGGCCATCCCCCGGGGGGCAGGGGGGCTTTCTCCCCCCAGCAGCCTTCTCAGGAGGTGCTCCCTGGGTCTGTGCCGCTGCTGCTCTTGCTCCTCCTCCCCTCTTCTGAAAGCTGGGCACTCGGAGCAGCGATGCTTTGGATGCTGGCTTGCCAAGGCTTAACTCCTTACGCGGATGTTTTTTATATGAGACTCCAGTGGGAAAACGGCAGATTGCGTTTCCCTTTCACCCGAGGAAGACTGTGGCACTCCATCCGCCATGCAGGGAGGAAGCACGGTCAAGCCCTGGCAAGGGGAGCCGGGCTGGGGCTGTGCCACCCCGCTCCTGTGCTTGCCACCGGCCCCCTGGGTGACCTTGGGCAAGTCGCTCTGCCTCTCCATGCCTCAGTTTCCCCGTCTGTAAAATGGGGATAATAATATTGCTCTACCTCACAGGGGTTGTTGTGAGGCTTCCTTGGCTAACATTTGTAAAAGTGCTTTGAGATCCTGGGATGAGGGATGCCACAGAAAACCAGAGGGTCTTTGTGAGGGCACCTGCAGGGGAGGTTTGGGCAGCCCAGCCCCTTCCCGAGGGGTGTAGCAGGACGTGAGACACAAAGGGAGCGAGCTGATCCTACAACTGAAGTCAACCATGTCCTTTAAGATGTGTTCTGTTCCCTATTTCTCCTTTATTTGGGGGTGTCTGTCAGTGAAGCTGCAGGACAGGCAGCTCCCCCATCCCCACTTGAAATTGGGAAGCAAAGCCAAGCCGTGACTTCCCCAGCTGTGGGGGCTTGCACCCCAACAGTGGTGCTGGAGCAGAAGGTAGGCAAGGATTTGGTGGGCAGGGTGAAGGAGGAAAGGTTCAGGTGCTACCTTCTGTGGAGAGGGTTGTGGGAGAGGTCAGACCCCACCAGGCCACTTGTGGGGGGCACCTCATAGCCCTCTCCTGGTTGCATGGCTGGCTTGCCGACCCTGGGCTGGGTTCTGGGCACCCACCAGAGTGGGGCCGTGCATTTGGGACAGGAGATGGGTACAGGCACCTGACCCCAGGCAGGTTTCCTTGGTTGGATGGACAAGTGGGAGTCGGGTCCCCAGGATCCCGGTCCCCTCTCTGAGGATCTGCAGGACCCTCAGGCAAAAGTCACTTCACTTCTCTGTGCTTCAGTTTCCCCGTCTGTAAAACGGGGACGGTAAATCTGACCTACCTCACAGGAGGTGTGAGGCTCCCTGCATCGCTTTGCAAAGTGCTCCGAGATCCTGGGGTGAAAGGCACTCTGTAAACGCAAAGTATCCTTAACATACCATTGTCCTGCATGAGAGTCTGGGCAGGAAGGCGTGAGACCTCCCAGTTGCCCCAAGAGCCCCCCCCAGCCCATCCTTGGAGGAGACCTCCCGTGGGAGAGGACAGTGAGGGGAAGAAGGGATTTTTTTAAAGAACTATTTTTAGCTGTCCTAACCTGTTGGCCTTTTTTTAGACGGTATCTGGACACAGATCCACTTACCACAGGATATGCAATGCTGTACTATGCATGGATTACTCCTCTGGCTTGGTGGAAAAAGTCAACATAACCAGTTTTTGCAGTCTAACTCTATACACATATGTGTGCGGGTGCTGTACGTGGTGCAGGGGGCTCGGGGGGAGCGGGCTGGCTCCTGGGGGGTCCCTGCTGCCACGAAGGCTCCAGGGGGTCTGCAGAGGCTTTCCGGGGCGTGCGGGGGGAGAAGGCCCTGCCGGAGGTGCGTGCTGCGACAGACACGTATGTGTATAAGCATATATAAATACATGTAGGAGATACCTGCGAATAAACACAGGATGTGGATGACATGCTGTGTGATGACTTAACAGCACATTTTTTTGCACTGTAGAGATCTAGTTAGCTTTGCCTTGGATGAAATAAAGTTTATGTTTACTAGAGAAACTCGCTGTGGTTTGGGTTGCTGTGGGTGTCTTGTTCAGGCTTGTCGTGAACTCCCCTGTCTGCGCACGCTGCGGCGCGAGCCCGGCGCCGAGGCAAAGAGCAGCAGGGTCTCGTTTTCCCTGTGTGTTGAGTGTGTCCGTTCTCTGCAGCTGCTTGTCCCAGGTGGCCGAGTGCTACCCCTCTGCCTGCATCCTGCTGATCCCTCCTGGATACCCGGGGTGAGGGCTGGGGGGCTGCTTCCCAGCACCCATGGGTGTCATTGCCTGCTCAAGCCCAGGGGCTGTGGGACGGGGCTGTAGTGCTGCCTCCAGAGGGACAGTGTTTTCAGGGTGCTTGGGGTCCATGCGGCACTTTCTTCCTTGGGCGCAGGAACAGCTTGTTCACAACAGCCCACGAATAAACCCTGCCTTGTGCTGGGAAAGCAGCCTAGGCGTATAGTGCAGGGAATTGCCTAAAATACCACCGCAGGTAAGAGGGACAAAGCCTTCAGAGGCCGTGTGAAAAAACAAATACTTTTTTTTAATGGGGATACTCTACAGCACAAACATAATTTCTCTCTGTATAACAGTAGTCAGCAAACAGCAGCGTAGCCCCACAGGAGCCTTCCTGCCACAGCAGGGTCGGCGCGGGGGCAATAAATTAATCTCTCTCCGGAAGGGAGCTTGAGCTGGTCGGATTCCTTCAGGGTATCGGTGGCCGTCGCTCCGAGCCGCCCTTTCCCTCCTTGGCTGGCCTCTGGTGCGCTAAATCACAGCCTGCCAGCGAGGGCTGGGGAGGCACCGCTCACCTTCCGTGGCTTGAGATCCATTTCCCAGCTGCTGTGGGAGCCGAGGCAGCCGAGCGCGGAGGGACGGAGAGGGAGGCTTGGGGAGAGGGGAGGGAAGTGCCCCGGCAGGTCTCAGAGCTCCGACTGGAAGGAGAGAGAGGGAGAGAAGCAATGGCAAGCTTTGAAGGGTGGCTGGAACCAGGAGGCAGAGTTGCGTCCTGAAGGAGCTGGCTCAGCTCTCGCACAGAGCCACCGAGGGGGCCCTGACCCTTCCCCACCGCCCCCCGAAAGCTGGGGGATAGAGCAGCACTGTCGACACTGACCCTCCGGACGGCGTAGATCCAGTTGAGGTAAGCACGGACGCTGGTGTAGACGCCGGGCGTGCTGGGGGTCCCGCAGCCCTGGCCCCAGCTGACGATGCCCACCACCTGCCAGTGCCTGCCCGCGAACTGCAGGGGCCCGCCGCTGTCCCCCTGCGGGGACAAGCCATCTGAGTGGGGCCTGAGGAGCCCCCACCCGTCCCCCAGCTTGTGGCCATTCAGCGTAGCCCCACAGGAGCCTTCCTGCCACAGCAGGGTCGGCGCGGGGGCAATAAATTAATCTCTCTCCGGAAGGGAGCTTGAGCTGGTCGGATTCCTTCAGGGTATCGGTGGCCGTCGCTCCGAGCCGCCCTTTCCCTCCTTGGCTGGCCTCTGGTGCGCTAAATCACAGCCTGCCAGCGAGGGCTGGGGAGGCACCGCTCACCTTCCGTGGCTTGAGATCCATTTCCCAGCTGCTGTGGGAGCCGAGGCAGCCGAGCGCGGAGGGACGGAGAGGGAGGCTTGGGGAGAGGGGAGGGAAGTGCCCCGGCAGGTCTCAGAGCTCCGACTGGAAGGAGAGAGAGGGAGAGAAGCAATGGCAAGCTTTGAAGGGTGGCTGGAACCAGGAGGCAGAGTTGCGTCCTGAAGGAGCTGGCTCAGCTCTCGCACAGAGCCACCGAGGGGGCCCTGACCCTTCCCCACCGCCCCCCGAAAGCTGGGGGATAGAGCAGCACTGTCGACACTGACCCTCCGGACGGCGTAGATCCAGTTGAGGTAAGCACGGACGCTGGTGTAGACGCCGGGCGTGCTGGGGGTCCCGCAGCCCTGGCCCCAGCTGACGATGCCCACCACCTGCCAGTGCCTGCCCGCGAACTGCAGGGGCCCGCCGCTGTCCCCCTGCGGGGACAAGCCATCTGAGTGGGGCCTGAGGAGCCCCCACCCGTCCCCCAGCTTGTGGCCATTCGTCATAGAATCATAGAATGGTTTGGGTCGGAAGGAACCTTCAAGATCATCTTGTTCCACCTCCCACCACACCAGGTTGCTCCAAGCCCCCTCCAACCTGGCCTTGAACCCCTCCAGGGATGGGGCAGCCACAGCTTCTCTGGGCAACCTGGGCCAGGCTCTCACCACCCTCACACCAAACAAGTTCTTCCCCACATCTCAGCTCCATCTCCCCTCTTTCAGTTTCAAGCTGTTCCCCCTTGTCCTATGGCTCCCCTCCCTGATCCAGAGTCCCTCCCCAGCTTTCCTGGAGCCCCTTGAGGGACTGGAAGGGGCTCTAGGGTCTCCCCGGAGCTTTCTCTTCTCCAGGCTGAACCCCCCAACTCTCTCAGCCTGTCCTCACAGCAGAGGGGCTCCAGCCCTCGAGGAGGTCAGCTTCCAGGAGGCCAGCTCTCCCCCGAGAGGGGCTATTTCATCAATGGGTGCAGACCCTGCCCCGCACCTGGCAAGTGTCCACCCCGCCTTGGGGCAGGCCAGCACACAGCATCTTCTCGGTGACCTCCCCGTGGTATCCGGCCAGGTTGCAGCTCTTGTTGTCTATGAGTTGCACCTCCGCTTGCTGCAGGGTCTCTGACAGTTTGCCTGCGTGAAACGTGGCTGCTCAGAGGGGTCCCCCAAGTAGCCCTGTGCCAGCAGGGAGCCCACCAGCCCCATCTCCTCCTGCGAGCGATGCTGGGGGGGACCCTCTGCTCGCCCCCACGCTGTCCCGCTCACCGTGCTCCTGCGTGTAGCCCCAGCCGATCACCCAGAGGGATGTGCCTGGCTCTAGCTCCTCATCAAAATAGGGCAGGCAGATGGGCTTGCGGCTGTCTGGAAGAGAAAGGTGAGGTGCAGGAGGTGTCTGGGGAGACTGGTGGGGAAGGTGACCCTGGAAGGGCACCCTCTGTGCTCTTGGTCACACGTGGTTCCCTCCGCACCTCTGCTTGGTGCCCAGCAAGCTTTGCCTTTGCCAGCTCTTGCTCTGAGGAGGTGTGTGCCACCTCTCACCTGAGATATGCACGGGGGACTGCAGCTTCACCAGGGCGATGTCGTTGTCCTTGGGAGACGCGGGCGTCATCTCGGCCAGGAAGACCTTCTCCACAGCGAGGGTGGCAGTGCCCGAGAGGAGGTCGGAGCCGGCCTTCACACGCCAGCTCTTGATGACGGGGTTGTTCCTGTGCACAGAGGTGTCTGTTACTGCTCCCCGCTTCACCCAGGGACAGGCAGCAGAGCCCTGCCTGCACCCTGCCCGGCTGAGCATCACCCAGCTGCGCCGGACCGAGGGGCACAAACCCCTGGGCAGACGTGTTAATGATGGGATGCTTGAGGGCATGGCAGCGCTGGCTGACAGGTACGTGTCAGGGGGGATGTCACCCACTCACTTGAAGCAGTGTGCTGCCGTCAGGACCCAGCGGGGGTCGATGATGCTCCCCCCACAGATGTGCTCCCTCCTGTACTGCAGGCTGACCTGCCAGGGCCAGGACTCGATGGCGGCCGGGCTGCCCCCCAGCACCCGCGGGGTCCTGATGCTCTCCCCGCAGTCCTCTGCCCGGCAGTGGAGCGGCGGCAAAGCAAGACGTTAGCTGTGGCGGCGGGGGAGAGAAAGAGCACCCGCTCTGCCCTCCTCCATCCTCGGGGCTGAGCGGGGACCAAGGCTCCTGCGCCTCCCAGGGAGGGGAGCGTGGCCCTGGTGCCTCACCCCGGGTGACACTGCCTGTGTCACCCCTTCGCGGGCCACCTGGCACACACCCCCTTTTGTTCCCTGTTTGCACATCGTCCCCGGGGCTTGCCCAAATGGGCTCAGCCATTCCTCGCCTTCTCCAGCCCACCAGGAGGATTAGTTTAATCAGGGTAATTCATCAGCAAAAGTAAACCCATTCAGGCAGCTGGTTAAGCCTCTCTCAGGTGTTTCATTTCTGGGAGGTTTACGCGGGCTTAACAGGAAGGTCAGCGGTAATTAAATTCAATTTTTCTCATGCAAAGAGTGTGGGAACCAGGAGGGCCAGGGCCTGGGCCAGAGCTGAGCTCCTGTGGCCGCAGAGTGGCACCCGGGGCTGCGCCAGCAGTGAGGACCTGGGGTAGCACGAGGCCCTGTGTGCCCACAAGGTGTGCCCGGCGTCATGATACTTACTGGAACAAGAGAGCGAAACAACCAGTCCGGAGAGGCACTTCCTGGAAGAAGGAGGAAAAGGGCTGGATTCAGCCCGGGGAGAGGCTCTGGCTCAGTGCTCAGGCACATCAGGCTCCCGTGCAAGGCGAGGGGCACCATGGCCACCCCTGGACCACTCACCTGCCCGGCTCGGGCACCTGGAGGCTGCCGTTGCTCAGCACGACCTCGCGGGGAGGCAGGGGCTGCCCTGCGCCCGCCCTCACCGGCTGGAAAGTGGGGGTGCTGAAAGACATGGGGTGGGGGGACACAGCTCAGGAAGCACAGCCTGGGCTGCACAGCCCCAGGGATGTTACCAGCAGGGCACAGATACTGGGAGAAGACAGGTGCTGGTGTCTGAAACCTCCAGGAGACTGGAATCTTGACGGTTTTGGCTCAGATTGAGCCAAAGGCCGTATAACCCAGTTCTAAAACTTTAGGCACTGGTGCTTTACAAATCGGTCCGATATGTTTGCCCGTGGCCAAGAGCTGGCGGAAGCAGGAGGTTAGGAATGGGACATGGATCCTGTGCCAGTGAGCAAGATAAAGACTCCATAGAAAAAGGGAATTCCTTGGGACAGGGACCCATTGTCCCCCTAACTTAACTCAAACTTTCCGCTCTAACCCAGGGCTGATACCAAACACGCAGGGCTAGCAAGCTGTTTCTCTATGTCCTGGCTTTAAGACTTAGTTGAATGCAGCACTACAAACTTGCAGGGAGCTCAGGGCAGCAGCAGGAGGTGGACACAGGTGGGGGTTATGGAGCATCATCCCAGCTGCAAGGACGCAGCCCTGGCCACAGCTGTGCTGCATCCACCCCTCTGGCCAACTGCTGCTCTCTGGAGGGCTTTAAAAGGGGAGCGTGGAGCCACGTATCCCACTCTGGGAGAGATCCATTGGCAGGGAGGACCTGGGTTGAGCTCTGTTCCTGCCCCAGGAGGGGCTGTTGTGGTGGGGTGAGTGTGTGCCCGCTGTTGGGAGCTATGGGGCAGCCCTGCTGTGGGGGGGACAGCGAGTAGAGGGGGTGAGGTGAGGGGTGGGAGCAGGGCAGGGTGGCTGTGGGCTGAGGATGATGGAGCAGGAGAGGCTGGGCAGAGGTCTGTGCTGGCGTGGGAAGCTGCCAGAGCTTCCAGCACAGAGGTCAGCCAGCTCCCAGAGTGGCTCTGCGTGGTGGGAATGGACTGAAACCATTAGTGCAGAGCTCTGAGTGCTTTGTAAATAAACAGAGCCCCGCTCAGAAAGAGCTTTTATGGGAGGGGGAGAGGTAAAGCAGGCAAGAGAGGCGTGGAGGAAGCAGCCACGTACCTCCTGTAGCCCATTTGCTCGCAGGCTGCTTTTGCCAGCGCCGGGTTGAAGTGGTCGTGGCAGACGCAGGACCAGGCTCCAGTGTTGCTGTTAAGCACCTGCAGGATGGATCTGTCTTTGGAAACACGGGCTGGGGACACACACAAAGTCAGCTTTGCCACAGGCGACTTGAGCAGGCGGAGGAGGCTTGCTGCAGCAGCCCAGCCCCTCCGTGGCTCAAGCAGGCTGTTCTGGACTCACCACCAGTTGGTGGCCCCTCAGGAACCCACTGGGGACAGTTGGCTTCGTCCTCGCCCTGCAGACAGTCTGTGTGCCCATCGCACACCTGCTGTAGGGACACCAGCTTCAGGGGCTGTTTGCAGAAGAAGTAGTGGTAGTCCAGGTAGACCTTGACTGGAGGGGAAAGGGGGAGCTCAGCACTGAGCTGGTGCCGCTGGGCAGGCTCGGGGGCTCGGCAAGAAGGTGGCAGAGCTGGTCCCAGCTCAGCCCTGGGTCCAGAGCCGTGTCTGCCGAGCGGTGGCAGGAGGAGGGGGAACAGGAGAGCAGGAGCCATACCCAGGAACCCCACGGCAACCAGGCAGGCGAGGCTGAGCACCCCTGCCAGGATGGGGATGCCGATCCTCTTGAAGGACTCCAGCGCCGTGGAGCCTTTGCTTCTCGGGCTGGGACCTGCAAGGGAGAGGAGCGTGGCCCTGTGTCGCCAGGCTCAGCCCGGCAGCACCCGCGCCCCCCGCTCCCATGGGCATTACCTCTGCCATTCAGCCGCTCGGAGGCTAAATCCTGCAAACCAGAGGGGAAAACCAGTTACCGAGCTGAAACCTCAGCCAAAAAGCAGCTGGGGTAGGGGGTGGGAAGGGTCTGTAGCAGCGTGGCTAGCTGGTCCCTTGGCAATTCCCATGCCAAGCACACTGCCACCCCTGGGAGGGCAGCCCAGAGAAAGCGGAGGATGAGCTGAGCCTGGACTTGCCCCAGTCTCCCCCAGGAGGATTAACAGGGAAACTGCCCCAACGGACAGCTGAGGATGCTCTAGGGGGAGGGAAGCAGCAGTGGGAGGGGATGGCATGTCTTGGTGTGACAACGCTTGTCTCTGCTGCAGCCTGGGATCACCCGCTCTCTTGTGTCTGTGGACACCACCTGTGTGATTCCAGTAACTGGCTCTCAGTGTTACAGGGTTACTGCCCTCGGTGCACCGGGGGCTTAAGAAGTCAGAGGCATTATGAAAGAGGCACGTTCTGATGCTCCAAGAAACCCTGAGTCAAAATACACATGCCTGCGAGGGCTCTGCCACCCAGACATGTCACAACAGGGGGTTTATATTCTTTGGCTGGCCCCAGCGCGGGGTCACAAACGGAGCGGCACAGCCCAGGTCCTCCCCGACAGACTGCTGGAGCCACCGGAGAAACCAGCCCGGCCCATGGGAAGGAGCGCTCTCGGGGTGGGGAGGGCTGTGCTGCTGCTAGGACACGCGGTAAACACAGCCCGGCTGCGGCGAGGGATGAATAAGATGTTGATCCTGCTTGATCTCCTCAAAATTATTTTCCCATAATAGCTTCTGGTATGAGAGATGCCCGGCCGCAGTAGGGAAGGTCCGGTGAGGTGCACCTTGTCCCCGTCCTCGGTGGGCAGGCTGGTGCTGGGCAGAGATCAGAGCCCCTCGGGGGGTGTTCAGGTGGACACCAGGCGTTTTGCTCGCCCTGTCCTGCAGCCCTGCTTGTGGCTGAAGCGTGAGGAGCTGTTTCCTGGCGGTTTGGGGGTTGAAAGCGTGCTCCTGCCCTGCCGAGGCTGCGGGAAGCAGCACACTTGCTTCTCCCTCAAATCTCCATCCAGCCCTGAGCGAGCTCTTTTCCTTCGCTGTTGCTTCGGGACTCTCCCACGACAGGTAAGACCAGCTGTTTTGGCAGGGCCTCAACAGACGGAAGGAAGGTTAAAACCACCGCAGTAAACCCACAGATTCATGAGAGTTTTGGGGTTTAGAAGCCTTTCCTCCTTTGGCTGCTGAGCTTCGGGAGCAGCACGCTTTTCCTCTGGGTGTCTGGAGATGGTTGCATTCGTTGTCTCAAACGGGAGCAGAGGTTGGGGCTCTGAAGAAGAGCAGTGAGGAGATGCGGGATGCGATAAGGCTGTGAAGGGGCCGTGCTCCAGCCCAAGGCTGGCAGGAGGGAGTGGTGGAACCCTCCCTCTCCGGGCGCTGTGTTTGGGCACGTTTAGCCACGCACCAGCAGGATTTTACTGGCAAGTGCCGATTATTTGTGGGCTAACACACAAAGATAGCTTGGGTTTGATGTGCTGCTCGCTCAGCCTTGCTGCCCCTCGCCCAGCTGGGAAACGTTGCCTCCCCATCATGGCCCCACTGTGTCTTGGGCCACCAGTTTTGGTTATTCCCCAGCCCAGGAACAAGAAGTGACTTGTGCAGGGGAGGATGGGATCCTGCCCGGTGCTGGGGGGGCTGTGGGCATGTGGCTGTGCCCCAGCATGCTGCCAGCTGGCTCTCTTGAGGAAATGCCAGGGGCCTTTCTCCAAACAGCAGGGCTTGTCTGGCACCGATGCTGAGTGTGGGCAAGTTGTGGCGGCCACCCGGCCCCAGGAGGGGCTTGGCACAGCCCTTCGGGTCTTTTCGGCTCCAGTGAGGATGCTGCTGTGGTATCAAGGGGGGCCCAGATGATCCCTCCTGGTGGCAGGGACTCGGGGAGCTGCAGGGGGCAGGGTGGGAAGGGGAGCGTGTCTCCTGGACCTCCCATCTGGGCTGCCCTTCCCAAGAGCTCCTCTCTGGTGCCTGCAGGAGCCCTGCGAGTTTTGTAATGCTCCTGAGCACCACCTCCGTCCTCCAGCTGAGGGCACGTGGGGCCGGTCCTCCTTCATGCTGACCTCTTGTGTCACCGTGGGCCTGGGCCGGGCATGACCCTGATAATGGGATCCTAACGGTTTCCCTGTGGGAACAGGCCCAGGGCCCCAGCCCCATGGCTCCTCCAGGCTCCCCAGCATGGCTGGGGCTCTGCGGCAGTGCCAGCACAGGGGGAGAGATGATGCTGTGGTGCTGGCCACCTCCCCACCTAGAGGAGCTATTGCCCCTTGGTGATTTTTTTTTTTTTTTTTTTTTGGGCTCTTCATGAAGAGGGATCTAGTGCCAATTTTAGAAATCCAGAAAAATATGTTGTAATATTACTTTTGAGTTTTGTTATTGATTCAGGACGATTACCTGTGTGCCTAGGTATTTTGAAAGGAACAATTCAAGGGAACCATAACTTTTGGGGGGGGGGGGGGGGGAGAGGAGGGGGGAAACAC